TTTCTCATTCCTCTGCTGAAATGTACGGCAGTGAAGCTGGTGGTGCTGTGCTTCAGAGAGGATGAGCTGGATTTTTTGGGATGAAAAGCTACGTGCTGGTGCAAGCAATGACTGTGATTTAGCAAGTGAAGATCTCACGTGTCGTATAAATGTATGTGATTATACATAAACATATGAGTATATAAATAGACTTACAGCGTGTGCACACACACCCTACAGAAGTAGCCACACATCTAAAGTAAAAAAGGCACATGTACAGTATGTGCCTCTGTGTGTACCCATCCACTTACTGTTCAATACCCACATTTAAAGTTAAAGGTTTCACTTTAATTACTGTAGATGCATGAATACAAATGAAGTGGTACTGTGACATAGAACAATATGCAGTGAACAATAACCATATTTTGCAAAGAAAAATGGGCAGTTTAAATGGATCTTAGTAGGCTACTCACATGATCTCTCATATTTCACATCACAACCCCATGCTCAACACTACATGCAGATGTTCGAGTGTGTATCTGCGTCAGCATGCTTAGGCTTCAAAGAAACAAGTAAAAGGTTTAATTCATGCTGAAAAGAGAAGAAAAGAACCACGATGTTTCAACACTCAAAGAAGACTCCACAGCCAAAACGTTGTGTTTCTTTTCTTCTCTTTTCAGCGTGAAATAAACCTTTACTTGTCCACTACATGGAGATCCTTTTAAAGTAACTTCTCCAGCAGCTAATCTGCATGTCTGATAACTACCCCTTTGAAAAAACTTCCACCTCTGCTTGGGCATTTCCCTATTTTACATAAAGCATGTATTTACATTCAGCAGTTTGCAAAAACAGTAGTTTTAAAACAAAACTGTTATAATTTTATATAACTACATTACGGTTACTTTACTGTTAATTTTTCCTTAAAAATCTGTAAAATGTTTATTTCCTATTTTAGGGGTAAAGTGACACTTGAAATTGAATTTCTTTGTGTCTGAAATTGTTTCTCCTTTTTTTTTTTTGCTTGTAACTAGACTGAAAGCAGTTTTAGTGAGCTTAGGTTTGAACTAAGCAAAAGTAATTACTAGCACGAGTCCTATTATCAGAAAAAAACAGTTTTTACCGTAATATTATTTCTGTCACAGTGATCTGCTTTTACTGCTTATACGTCAAATATTGTACAGGTATCACGTGGTAAATGATGAGATTCTAGAGCACGACTGGAGAACCAGGGCAACAACTCTTTAATATACATCCTGCTATTTACCAGTTCACATTATAGCTTGCCTTCCACTTGAGGTATTACTCCTCACCCTGAGACATCTGATAAGTTATCATTAAGCAGTACTTTCCCACTAGAATAATGCAAACCACAGCTGAACGCACCAAACCTGGGACTAGAATAGACTTCCTTAGCAAAGGCTTCATGAGGGTTATGGCGCTTATAATCAGAAAAAAGAAACATTCTTTTCCAATCCAAGCTCGACTGCCCCACCACTAGCACTTCAGTAAATTAATGAATAATCTAACACCTAAGGTGTCGCTCCACAGATGCACTTCTGGGGGACCTGGAGACTTGTAAAAAGGGATTTGCTTTCTAATGGTTCCCTGTTTTCCTGCTTGGTGTGGGTGCCTGGGTGGGGAGCCACTGCGGGGCAGCTTGTGCAGCAGTAAAGACCCCTGAGGGGCTGTTGAGCTTTGGTAAACTGGGGTCTCTCAGCTAACATCGCCCCCAGCTGGTCTGGGGGAACATGGCGAGATGTTTGCTGCTGAATGTGTGTGGACGTTCTCGATTTCTGCTTTTCCCAAGTTAAATTTTGCTTCATTATTAGTTGCCCAACAAACCATGGGCTTGTTTCACTTAGACCTTGTTCTTGTAGTTATCATGTATCCTAGAAAGAAACACTATCCCTTCACAAACAAAATATTAGTTTTGCTTCACAATACAAAGAGATACAACAGGGACATCCTAAGTGCAATACAGTTTGCTGAGTATCTTTCGGCACAATGCGATGCTCAGCTGTCATATCTCAAAGCAGAGCTGTGTTTGAAGTTGCTCTGGCTTTCTTCCCATTACTGTAGTAGCAAGACGTATTATCTTGAGCCTTTTTGAACTGATTCATAATTAATAACAGTATATTTTTTTCTGAGCCTGTAAACAAGAAAGAATACTCCGTCATTTCACATGTGAAGGCAATCATCCCACACACCAGATGAGGTGGAGGAGTGAGAAAATGCCTCCCGGTTTAATTATGGGAGAGCTGTAGGGAAACCTCACTCAAGCCTCAGATCAGAGCACCAAAATTAACACCCCAACTCTTGGAAAGTGACATTAAATGAACATGTCAGGACCTCGATTTAACATCTCACCCAACAGACAGCCCCTCCGTGGGGCACAAGTTTAAAAACTCAGGTCCAGATTCAAGAGCACCAACCAAGATTTCCCTGTACAATAGGTCTCCCTTCCTGCCCCATCCTTGCTTAAATATAATGGCTGTTTTAATGAAAAGCCCTGTTTTTACTACTGCTCTTCATGATATCCTCCTCTCTTAGAAAGTCATACTAAGTTCTTTTACTTTTCACTATCTACACAGTGCTCTTGGGACACGATGATTTCACTTTTATGTTGAGGACAAAAATATTACCTTGGCATTGATGGGGACATGGACTTAGAAGCCTTTAAAATTATTCTTATAACATTAAGTTTTGGACACATTATAACTTCCTACAATCAAATTTGAAGAAGTATACAGATTTTTTGGAAGGCATTTGGCATTTGGTAGGTAAATTGAAAGATTTCAATTCACAACTGCTTCATAATCCTGAGATTAAATCCAATAGCCAAACTGGAAATATGGGTTTTCTATATGTATATATGGCAGATTTTGGAAATTAATACTTTTCTTAATATGTGTTTTACATAATTCCAACCTGATATTGTTGTGGTTTTTATTTTAAGCATTTATATGATGGGTGGATCTACTGTAAGATTGTATTGAAAACTGCCCTGAATCAAATTCAGATGCTTCTACACATAAACATACTACAAAGTTTTTGATACGTCAAAATACAATCAAAACTCTAGGCTCCCAAAGAACATATGGCATTTAACTTTTGCCCAAATAATAGAAAGAGCTGATTAATATTTTCAAAGAGTTTGTTAACATGCAGTACAGTTATGTTACACATTTGAGCATTTACAGTAATTCAAATTACTGGCAAGCACGCAAAATAAAACATCTTAGAAATTCTGCAGACATTTTGGGTTTTATACACACATGGAAAAGTTGAAGTTAATCAAAAGGAGCATTAAGAATTAAAGGTTAAACACTTATACATGATGTTCTGATATGTGTATACTTATTTAATATTTCAAACATCCCTATTGTTTATAAATCTTTATAAAATCTCAAGATCCAACTAAATGCTAGCATAATTATCTGTGCAGTTATGCTTCACATTTAAGATTTTCAGAATAATAAAGTATAGATGTAGTTCAGGTGGGTAGCTGCATCAGCATGTGTAAGACCCAGTAGTCACTGCAGATAGTAAATGTAAACTACATCTATAGTTGCAATGGAACAAGTAAAGGTTTATTCCATGCTGAAAAGAGAAGAAAGGAAACACAACCAAAAGAAGAACCCACACCAGAAACGTTGTGTTTCCTTTCTTCTCTTTTCAGCACGGATTGAACCTATTTACTTGTTCCTTTGCAACTATAGATGTAGTTTACATTTACTATCTGCAGTGACTACTGGGTCCTCACCAAACACAGATGTCCCGGCTCAAAATGAAATATTGCCATGTTCACTTTCACATGACCCACACGAACAGGATATATATTTCAAAAACCCATATTAGGATGAAAGGTTTGAAAAAGTTAAAATGAAAAAGTATATAGTTTTCAGTGTTTATGTATTCAACAGTGCATGTATTTGTGTCTCACAGTATTACTAAAGATAATGGAGCCATGTTGGGCTTCAGAAATAAAACCAGACTTACAATCTCAGGGATAAAATGTAATGCTCTGTAAAAACCGTTTTAAAGCCCTTGTGCTTTTATTTGATATGCTACGAGTCTGTTATGCTTAAATCAGAATTAGACGTTTCTTCAGCCGAACAACGTCTGATATTATTAGATTTAATCCACTTTGGTGCTGCTCTATGCATGGGTGATCTAGTGACTCGTTTATGATTTTAATCCGAAATTGCATTCGGTTTTAATATGATGTTTCATACAGCGAGGAAAGAAAAATCAACAGCGACCCATCCAAAACACTTCCTGAGCTGGGGACAAACACCTCGTCGAGATTTTTAAATAAGATGCACGTAGATTTTCTTTTAAGAAAAAAACAACGGAAGCAGTTTCATTAGAACACAGTACGACACCTCCCTCACCAGGAACATGTAATTTTCTGAAAATGGATGAATGAATCTCATTTAGTTTTCGAATGTATTTTAACCCCAGTACGTAAATGCTTTGTTTTCAGAGGTTTCCTGTAAGGATAATTATTGCATTTGTCGTTTCCCACAAACACAAGAGGAAAATGCAGCGCCTTTAAGCTCAGTGTTGTTAACTCCACACAGCGTAACATCATTATTCAATACAGCCGTATCTCGGGACACCTCTAACCTTTTCACGGAAAAGCTACTTTCAAGTTAATTTATAGCGCTAGGCTGTTGTTATGAGGTTGCGTTTGAAGTCCTACTAGTCATTTTCTTTTATATCACTATATCTGCAGGGGGTTATTTCAAAACACTACTCCATTCCCAGTGAAAAACAGAAAAAGTCAGGCCCTTTTATGAGCCGGAATCTGGGCTCTGTACATGTTTAATGATAAACAAGTCTATTGTGCTCAGATAATTTTGGGCTCCATGAATATATTTCCTATAATTGAACCTCAAGCCATCAGAAACTTTTAAAAATCCCTATGTCTGACATCGGTCTGACATTTCTAATGTCATGATACTGTAGATATGCTCTCAAATGTTCAGAGGCGAGTTAAATACATGGGCAAGGCTGCCATTCAGGGACTGCTGTTCCGCCTTGGTTACAGACCTGAGCTCCACTTCCACATATCCCGGATTGAGCAACAGCAGCTACCTGTAGCGGTTAAAAGATCAAGTTGCAAAGTTTCTTTCCCAAGTCGCGGGAGGGGGGGGAGATCAACTTCCGGATCCACTTCAGTCCCTCCCGGCACCAAACTGGCGAGAGACGGATTGAAAATTAATCCCAGAACTGAAACTGTTCGCGGCCGAACGGACTTATTCCACGTGTTTGTTTGAGCGAAAACGAGAACCGATTTCGTTTAAGGACTGGACTTCTGCTGGCAGAAAGTTGGGGGGCTTTTGCGGAGTTACCGGCAGGTTTTCAGGAAGACCCGGGGGATTCCTGCGGGCTGCTGAGGTGACAAAGGGAGCAGAAGCCGGGGACGCGCCTCTGCAGGGATGGAGCTGCTCTGCCGGCTGCTCGCCTTCTGCTTGACTCTCGGTAGGATTTCTGATCCCGGCGTTCCCAGTTCCCACTCCTGGGAAGGTTGCAATCTGCGGGAAAAGTTATGTGCTCAGTGATATGATTTGTTCCCTTTTTGCCAGCGGTCTTATTGAACGATTGAGGTCGGGTTTGAGCCAAGTGCCTTGAGTTTGATTTCAGCGTGAAATCTTTGCATTAAGATACACCGCCTCGTTCTTGGCGGCACGGCTTTGAATTGTGTGCCTTTGATTGGATTTGTAGCCCGTAAAAGTGATTTCTCTGTATCTGAATTCTAACTCCAGAGGGAAAAAAATAAGTTTTTCACCTGTTTTCAAACCGGCGGAAAGCGAGTTTTAACCGAGAATGTTTTATTTCATCATATGCGGTCACCTTTGCTATTTTTGCATTGTTTTGCGTGTAAAGTTGGTTTAAAACGGTGTTTCCTTTTTTTACACTGATTACTTTGTTTAGATTACACTGTTTCTTTCATACCCGCAGAGATAAAATACTATATCTGAGAAACAATACAATCCATTGTTATACACGTTTTCTAGACACATTAAAAGGCAATGAGCTGAAAGTTATATGTAATAAAATAGTTTTTTTTTATCGTTTGTGGTCGAGTATTGAATCGGACCTATCATAGACTGGGTGATAGGCTTAGTTACACCCAGGAGTTACGTAAAGCGACAAATTGACTGAGTCACGTCCAGCTCTTGGGGAGCCTGAGAATCAGAATCAGGTGTTGGCATACCGATGGAGAAGTCTGGTGAAAACTAAAATTTGTGCATCAGAAGGGCTTTTTTTCTCCGTTGCTGTGCGTTCTCATTGCAATTCGTCAGTACATCTGTATTGTCGTTTTGAGTCATTATTACATTTGTTTGCAGAATTGTATCATGTTTGACATCATTTGTAGGAGATTCCTAACGACCTAATCTTCGTCTTGTCACATCCCGTTATTAGTGTCACAGCTAGTGATTCATTATGGAGCTGTAGAGATCCGCTCCTCCCTGTAACGTCATTTCATGGGGAAAAGACGTTGGGAAATTGACAAACGATCTCACTGGCTTTTCCCTGGGAATTTAAACTTAATTTCAGCTAGTCTGCAGAATTAAAACAAAACTCAGTTGGCAATTATATACTTATATTTTACATTTTTGTATGATTTACATATCAGTGGTAGTGCATGCGGATAAAGGGTTTATTCTTATATTTTTCTAGAGATCTGGACATAAATATGTTTGCTAACCATATGTGATTGTGTCTTCGCATATGTCTGCCCATTCTGCATAATTCTTTAGTTTATTTTGCATTTTTATGTTCTCCATATTCCTACTTAATTTACCCGTTTATGGGTTTTTCGGCTTTTTAAACCTTGGCGCCCTTTTTTGCACGCCGGTGCTTCGCACTTTGGTGAAGTACTGTACAAGCCTTCATTTCCCTGCTGCTGCTGGCCGAGGCGACCCAGCAAGTCGCGGTGACTTCTCTGGGGGTTTGTTTAGGTACCTTCCGTCCGTGCCAGAGCTTAAAATAGGGAAGTGTAACGTGAGCTGTCTGATACTTGTGTCCATGTTTCATTTAGATGAGGCTGAAAGCATATTTAAGAGAACCACATTAAAGGAAGTTTTGGTTAGCAATAAACAATTTGTATGCGCTTTTACTGTGCATCCTCTCCCCTGAAATCTCTGAAAATCTGCAAAGCTTTATCTGCAGAAAATAGGAACATACCAGAATGCAATTTGTATGCAGCTGCTACGCTTTCTGCCTGACAGCTCCTTAGCAAGATGGCTGAGATGGACTAAGTGCTTTTTGTGTAAATTGGAAACACCTTTCAAAATATTTCAACCAATGTCTTATTTATACTGAAACTCAAAAATGTATAAAACTCGAAGCCTTTGCTCACAAATACGTTGTGAACAAGTGAAAATCTTATTTTTACTGATAAGTTTGGACAGCTTTTAAAATGATGTGTTTTAATAGACTGCAAGCCTCAAGTCATTTATTGTCCCTTTCATGCTGCTTGGTTTAAAAAAAAAGCTTTAAATCTTTTGGTTTAAAAGCTTTTGTGCTATTTTAAAATGCTTCTTCATACTCTTTACAGTATTGTAGCATTCATTCCCTCCACACCTTGGTAAAAATGTTTGCTTTCACTGTATAGTAGACTGTGTTCTGTTACGCAGTCGCATTTATTCTCATATCTTGGGATTTTGAGAGATCCGAGGGCACTCAGAAAGAACAAGTACTCTGAGTGTTATTATTTTTAACAAAGTTTGCTGCGTTATTCGCCACGTGTGATTGTTGTTCAATAGTTTTTTAGATTAATTCATTTGAAAACCAGTTAAAATCCATAGTATGTTTGTAAAAGTGTGACCCACCTATTTATAGCACTTTAGGCACATGCAGATGTACGAGGATTACGTTCAGTACTAATGCTTTAAATTTGGTAAATCAGTTATGCATGTTTCAAGTCGGGTCTTTTTGTTAATGATAAAAAAACAGTTTAAACTGTGAAATGTGAAATCAGCTTCTGTTTCCAAACTTTTTAAAAGCCCTAAAACAATACTTTCTAACAGGCATACATGATTAATTTTATGTAATACAGGCTCGTTGATTTTACATTGATTATTTATAGGACATACAAAAACATAAATCTAAATTCAGATGATTGTTTTGTTTGAGGTTTTTGGCTGTGGCTGTTTAAAAATATATAATGGCAGAGATTGTTCCTGAATCCAGCGAGTCTCAAGTTCCAGTTCTGCGCCTTCTTTTTTGTTGTTTGCTTTTATCTGTTCAGACAAGCCCTTTTTCTTTTTCTTCCCACGTCTTGCTCAAGATGTGTTTCAACCAGTTCAGTCTGTTTCTTCACTTGTCCTTTCCATGCGTCAAGCTAATAGTTTTAACTTAAAGACGCAGAAACCCCCCTTTTCAGAACCGTCATTTGTCGTCTCACCAGAAGACCTCTGGAGAGGAGTTGTGTTTCTTCTCCGAGTTGAGTTACTAATGTCTCATTTAACATTTTTGGTCCCAGTCAGCCCGGATCAATAAAACGCATTTCTGAGTTGTTTTTTTCTCAGTGTGGCCCAAGCAGGAAGTTCTCATGCTGCACCAAATGGATTATGGGATAACCCTGTGTTGCCTTTTTATAAAAAAGAAACTCTTCTTACTATTGTCAAGCAAAATGAGGTTCCATTAAAAAGAGGTATTTATGTGCTGTATGCAAGAGTGGAGTCCATTCTAAATAACTAATTCTCCAGTTATTTCTTTTTATTTTAAATCTGTGTCTGATGAAGATTGCAACACACTGTGCAGACATAAGCAACTTTTTTCAACCATTTTATTATTAAGTTCTTGGAAATTGTATTTTTATATATTTATATCCACTATCCAGCTCAGCTTTGGGTATTTTTTTTTACTGACACACTTTTTGGCCACCCTCTGCCTTGGGGGTTAAAGAGATTTGCTTCCCTGCCAGACTCCTGCATAAACCCTCACCCCCCTCACCACTTCACAACATAGTTCAAACATTGTATATCAGACCGCAAACTTGACACTAGAGACAAAAGCTCCAGCTGTGAACGGAAGAGAGATATTGGTCTGGATTCTTACACAATCTTTGTAGGGTGACCTGAAGGAGTTCTGAACTCCTTCTCTGGTTTTCACAGCGAACTGTGAGGCTGAAACCGCACTGCTCTAAAAAGAGTAGTGCCTCAGCGTGTTTCACTGTAGGATTGCCTGCAGGAACCTGTTCAGTTCGGATTTGAATGATTCAGAGCAATATTTAATATGTGCAAAATAATGTATCTTTGGTTATGCAACATCCTTCACACTACATGATGGGCATTTCAAAGAAAACCGAGAAACTTAAAATTATTCAAGACAAGCACTCCCAACCCCGACCCTGAAGAGCCACAAGCCAGCAGGTTTTAGAGAGAATTGCTGAATCCTTAAATGACAGCCCATTAATTTCATAATGCCAGTCATTTAATTTTCTAAAGACTTTTCTATATATGTTATGGTTTCTGAAGACATCGAATGGGGTTAAACTGATCCAGGTGATTTGTTCAGGTGAGTAATGTAGAGAACATCTGGGAAAAAAGTGGAATACCCTCCGGTCCTCAAAGACTAGAGTTTCATTGATTTAACAAATTACCTGCTCAGTCACCGACTTGGACGTCATACCAGTCTTGAGAAACAGCAGTGTGTGTGGCGACATGGATTTTGAAATGGATTTGAGCCCCTGGCGCTGGGGACCCTGATTTAAGATAAATGTACAAGTCTGAGGTGAAGGTGTCTTGCTCTGTGAGAGCGTGACTTGATTAATGCAACTCTTGTTCCCGTGTTTCTGTGCAGCGCTCTGCTTGGGGCGAACGGTGAAGGTTCCTGGAGGCCCCCTGGTCAGAGTGGAAGGGACAGAGGTCTCCATCCCCTGTGAGGTGCAGGACTACGAAGGCCCTAGAGAGCAGGACTTCGACTGGCGAGTGATCCGGGGGGACAGGTCTGTTCAGCTCATCTCCACGTTGGATTCATCCTTCACAGACAGCTCCTTCAGGAGCCGAGTCAGTAGCAGAGAGGTCACCATAGACCGGACCAGTGAAAACTCGGTCAGTCTCAGGATTAGAAACGTCAAGCCAAGCGACAGCGCAGCGTATGACTGCTTAACACCCAGCACTGATTCCCAGCTGAGCGGAAACTACAATGCGACTGTGCGACTAATAGGTACGTTCGGCTGTACGATCGCTGTTGGGTGTTATCGAGATGCCCTTCAGTCTCGTTTTCTGAGAACACATTCCGAAATAGTCTTGTAGTTGCGTATATAGAAAATGTGTGGATAAAAGGTTTGTGTTATTCTTATGATTCATGTTTATTTCACGAACGTCGCCTTTTGCAAGCAGTTGTTGCAATAGCAGCTGGTTGTGTTTTGTCTCGGATGTAGGCTAAACCGCCACAGATATACAAGCCGCTCCAGTTTAAAAAGGCTTATGTTGCATGTACAGAGAGAGAGTGCGCGTGACTGTGCGGACGTAGCTGATGTTTGAAAGAACATGATTGCATCCGGTGCTCCTTCAGCCTTGTCTTCATACACTGGATGCTTTAGCATGTCTGTCATCAGCGTCTGTAGTGGTGATCAGAGCTCAAAGCCCGTGAATCCTGACCTTGCAATGAAAGGGGGCCCATCACCCCTTACTAAGCGAGCAGTCCGAGAGTAGAAATGTGGTACATGCACAGAAATTTGTATGTAAAGAAAGTTACAGTTCTCAGATTAGATTGAATTCTGAAACCGTATCGTTCTAAATTTTCAAAATAAAATATGGTCAAATCATTGCAAGCAGACGTCTTATGGCCGTCATCGTTTAGTTCTTTCACTTGGCATGCTGCGTGAGTCCAGCCTCAGTAGGGTTTCGAAAGCGTTTATTCTGTTCAGAGTCGGGGCAGATTGTGTGTGATTTCTAGGTAGATCTCTGATGGGAGCCAAAAAAAGCCTGTAAACCTTGGGATTTCCGTTGAGGGACTTTTCTGTAGAGGATATTTTAAGTTGACAAATCTAGTAGAAAATACCTCCAAAACACCCAGCATTGGGAAATGAACTTAAAACGACAGTGAAGTCAAGTTAAAGGACTGGAACTAATGACCTCCTTTTAGAAGTCCACAATCATTGTTCCATTACTTAGGGAGAACTCCTTCATCCAAAATAAGGCGGAAATCCAGCTTAATTGAGTTAGTCTCAATTCAGCTAAAGTATTATGTTCTCACAAAGTCGCTTGCTGACAGGTGTGATCCTACTAAGAAAGAATTTCTTTTAAGTTTACAAGATCTCCGGAGAAGGTCAGCTGCAGCACTAGGAGCTGTAAATGACAAGCTTTCCCATATTTGGAAAGTTTGTTTTTGAAGGGCATGGAAGAATGCGTGCGCTTCCTGGCACACAGCACGGATCCCCTTCAGATGGAACAGATGCCGTAATTAATGTGTGGGAGATAATGAGGCAGGCACTTTGGCCTGCTCTCCTCTTGATGTGCTTTGTGGCAGGCTGGAGGCAGGGGAGATGGAGAGCCCATCAAAGACGTGATCAGGGAACTTGGGGGCAGAAACATGATTTCTTATCGCATGCTGTATTTCACAGGGTCATTACTAATGTCAAAAAATGTGAGTTGCCAGGAAAACGGGCACTGTTGACGGAAACAAATGGGCTCTCAGTGATTGGCTAACTCAGAGCACAAACCCATTTTTCTGCTTTTTTTTTGCAGTAATTCCAGACAGCCTTGTGGTAACCCCTCTTAACAACTCAAGCCAGGTTTCAGAGAGAGTATCAGAAGGCAGGTCCTTCGAACTGCACTGCAGAGCCTCGGTGGACTTTGTGGAGCACACCTTCCTCTCCGTCAGCTGGGCGGTCAAGAGAGGCCCCTCTACAGAGAAGATCCTCACTTACGGTCCGGGCGGAGTCGTGAGAGCCGAAAGCAGTTATCGCCAGCGCTACGCGGATGGAGGTTTGCGTCTAGACCTGCCCGGAGATGGAGTGTATAGCCTGATAGTCTCCCACGCGCTGCCCTCGGATGAAGGCCTGTACGTGTGCTCTGCTGCTGAGTGGGCAAGAGATGATGGGGATACCTGGACGAGCATTCAGGAGAAGCAGACTGAGCTGAAGGACGTGAAGGTGGCTCCAATAGGTGAGTTACACTCCCTATTTCTTTTAACACTTACAGTGTCCGATTTTATGTATGTGTTTGGTGGGTATTTAAATAAAGGTCAGAATGACTCCTGAGACGTTCTCTACCAACGTGTATGAGGGCCTGAGCTGGGTGTCATTAACAATCAGTGCGCCTCTTTTATCCCACAGCTACGGAGGACAATGCTGTGTTCGTTTGTTCAGAAGTCTTTGCAGACAATGTTTTCTGCAACCGTTGAGCGCAGAGTTAAGCATGAATGGGATTGCAGTCGGCAACAAGTCAAACAAAATAAGCCTTCTAGGATACACAATAAGCATCGATTGAGTCATTCTGGAAAAGCCATGAAATAAACCCATATTTCAGGTTCAGTCTGCAACAGTTAATCTACCAGTAGATGCTTTTTGTAAGACAGGTCATCTGAATATTTGACTTGTTCTTGTGCTGTGCTCAGCTGCAAGCCTCCTCCGAAACAACTGCCTGTGTTTGGGCAGTAGTTGCCTAGGATTTTCCTGCCAGGTCATGTCCTCCCTGCTGCAGGTTTGTTAATTAAAATTCTGGAATATGACCCCAGAGTACATAAATGCAAGATATAGCTGCTGGTAGAATTATCTCTGCTGCCGAAAAAATCAGCCCCTGTCAGGAACAGAGAATTGCATACTGAAACGTTTCAAAACATTTGTGAAATAAAGCCTTAAAGGATGTTCTGTTTTACAACCGGATGTGTTCATGTAGCCAGTGTTGTGGGCATTATGGGTGAATCAGTTTTGACCTGTATTTTGTGTGTTGATGTTGTTGGGCTCTTTTGCTGTTTAAGTTGGTTCACTGTGCCCCTTTCTGCCTTCTGTTTTTCTCAGCGCAGTCTTTCCGGGTTTCGGCCGAGCACAATGCCAGCCTCCGCGTGGGCGAGGCCCTCAGCCTGGCCTGCAGGGTGGCAGCCGACAGCTACGACCTGCTCGGGCTGGAGGTCGCGTGGTACGTGGGCTCTGCTCCTGGCGGCGGGCTGGACGGCGCCCGGCTGCTGGCCCACATGAGCCGCGACTCGGTCACGAACGGGACCGCCGCCGCCAGCCTCAGCCGCGTCAGCTGGGACACGTTCCGGCTGGTCATCCGCGACGTGGGCCGCGCGGACTCGGGGCACTACTTCTGCGTGGCGGCTGCCTGGGTGCAGCACGCCGGCGGGCGGTGGTACAGAGCGGCCGAGAGGAGCTCCAGCGCGGTGCAGGTGGCGGTGGCGCCGGAGGGTGAGTGATGTCACTCGTGCGCGAGTCTGCGCTGCCGCCCCACAGCTCCTTGGCCTGGGGTTCGATTCCCCAGTGGAATCGGAATGCTTTTCACTGGCTTCTTCTGTAACTTCCCGTCTTCCAAGCACGCGGCTGGGCTGGATTAAAGGTCCCTGTGAGTGTGGGCATCATGCCCAGGGTGCAGTCACGCCTCCTGCTTCCCTCAGCTCCCTGGGAATAAGCACTGAAGGAATAAGGCTTTCCAGTGATGGAGGGCTGTATTTCCTTGCGGACCGGGATATAGGCCTGGCGTTTGCTTTCTGAAGCCTGCTGGCTTTCTTTGTTTTTAAGGTCGGCACATGAAATCGGATATTTGTACAAACAATTATCTAAAGTCGAATAGCTCTTTCATTTTGCGTGTATCTCCTATCTCTCTATTTTAACGTATGTTGCTTAAAAACATTGTGTTAGGAAAACAGGTGGGAACTATCCCGAAACCTGTCCATTATCCTCCTAAGTTTTCAGTTTTATTTTATTAGTTTATGGTGGTTTACTCTCTAGAAACACATTATTTGAAAACAATTGTAACAATTGCTGTAACTAAGGCATTTTAGAACTTGTTCCCCATGTTTCTGTGTAGTGATTAAGTTATAATCCTCTTCTTACTGTATTTGCAGTTCAGCCATTTTATCTCACTAGAGTGCTGCACAGGGTACTGACTTGACACGAGTTATGTGGAACTGGAAGATTAGTTTGCTTTTATCTGTCTCGTTGCGCTCCGCTTCTCCTGCACAGTAATAGGCACAGAATTATTGCCATCCAGGATATGGGAACCCAGATTTTTTATTTTTTATCAAGTTTGAATTCAATGCAATATAAAATAGTCCATGACATGTTTACAAAGTTACACATTATATTTCATCATGCAAAGGGACAAGTAAAGGTTTATTCCATGCTGAAAAGAGAAGAAAAGCAACACAAGGAGCTGTACGGCCCCACGGCCGAAACATTTTGTTTCTTTTCTTCTCTTTTCAGGAAGGAATAAACCTTTACTTGTTCCTTTGCAGCCTACGCATGCTGATGCAGCTCCCTACTTGAACTACTTATATTTAATCATGTCTACCATCAGCAATATCAAGAAGAAAAATAAAATCCTGCCTTTCCTTTCCAAATAAGTTGGCAGCACTACAGCATTGTCACATTGAAGAAGGGAAACTACAGAATTTAAGTGGAGCTGACCTCCAGGAGTGAGCAGACAGCAGCATCGTGCGACATCAGTGTTTTGCCGTGTGCCAGTTGAAATCGCAGTTGTCAATGCCTGATTCTCTCACTGTCCTAAATCATTAACTAAGTTAAATATTAATTTCAAATCTAATGTGGGGTAAACATAAACAAGAAGCTTAATTTTAAATCTTTCCAAAGATACAAAATTATCCCAGAGGAAGCTTGGGTCAAAGGTTTTTCAGTCTTAGCTTGTAACGACATGTCTCTCTGATCTAATTCAGATTGCTCTGTATTAATTACTTTGTCTTTTTTTTGCTGTTGCTAAGGTTTTTTTGCTTGATTAATACTGTGATTGAGGAATAATCCACCTACATACAGTACTTCCTGACCACAACGCATAAATTCAAACATCCACCCATAATTCCCACAGAGTAGCAGTGTACTATGAAAAGTACAAATGACTTCTATGAAAAGCCTTTTCTTCCACAAAGATCGAAGAATGGAGTTTATTTAAGAGTAAAGGGCACATATTTGGTTTTCGGTTTGTGGTTTCAGTTTGAGGGACAGGATATTGTGTGTTCAGGTGAAATTTTGTTTGCTAAACAAACAAGAGCATGGGAGGAATAGTGCAAGGTTTCATTTTAATCAGAAGGGAAGGAGACCAGATTATGAATGTGTGGGAGATAATGCGACAGGCTGTCCTGCTTGATGTTGCCTTTTGCAAGCTTGAAGCAACACCGGGACGTGGCGCATGAGAAGAAACATGCAGATTTCTGTTCACATCCTGTCTCTTATGGAGACATCCCGAATGTAAAAAATGTGAGTTACCAAGGAGTGTCAAAAAAAACAAATGGAGAGTCAAGTCATGGAAACATAAGTGTTGTTTCTCTTTTATTTTAAGCAATTACAGAAGGCCTAATAGTAACACTCCTGAAAACCTCAAGGCAAGTTTGTGAGAAAGTATCCCCAGGGAGTTTCTTTTTCTTTGCATTTCACAGCCTGTGTAGATTTTGTGGAGGACGCCTCTTCTGTCTGCTGTGCTGTTGGAAGAGAATCTCCACTGTGAAGGTCCAGACGTATGGTTCAGGCGGAGTTGTGAAAAGTACTTCTAGCCATGTGACAAATGTGAGGGATTTCATCCCTTCAGCCCATTTTACTCTTTTGGGTCTCTGTCCCACATGCTAGATACAAGACTAAATTCCCCAAGTTCGAAGTAAGCTCAATAGGAATGCAGGATTTAAGAGTAACTTGCATACACACTGGGAGAATGTGCCAAACCCAGGATCCCAGGACTGTTAGGCAACAGTACTGTGCATGTTATACAGTTTGAAAGTCAAACACACTGTGAGTGTAGTGATCAATTATTGATATTATGCCCAGCTTCCCCGAGACGGGCTCACCCATCCTGTCACGCATCCTTTTTCGAGTGAGTAGTATTTCATCAAAGACCCCCCTCAGACAGCTTTTCCATCTCTAATGAACTGCTTTTGGTTCTGTGGAACCTGGGGGGTTGTCAGGTATTCTGTGTGGTGTAGTTTAAATAATGACATATTAATTAATATTCAATTTATATAGTGCTAAACAAGTGTGGCATCCCTCGTAAAAGGATTTTAAATGGTCGGTTTAAAAAAAGTTTCCTCGGATCAAAGCTCTCCTTGCCAGTTGCTGTCCTTTCTTCTGTAGAAGGACAGATCTTACCTCTCTGATTGATTGTGAGGACGGAATTTGTTCCAGTTTCCTTTCTGTATCTTGGGAAGCAGTTTAGGACTCTGCGTGTGGGGTTCTAATGTAATAGAAGAGCTTCTTAATCCTGCTTTAACCCTCACCAGATGTCTTGCACTTTACTTGCATTCATTTTTTATGTCATTTATGCATTTTTAATCTATTTTATAGAAATTGTTTATATAGTTCAAGCAGATTTTTTTTCTATATGTATAGCCAGTGTCTGGTTATAAGCCTAAATTAGCAGCATTGTGAATGGCTCAGTTTTATTAGGGAGTTGCCTTTGCTAAAATAAAATGTGTTCCTTGTGCACAACTAGACCTTGTTAAAATTAGCAATCTTGACTTGCAGAGCATGGAGACACGAATATACTGTGTGTATATATACAACAGACGACTGAGACAGCAGTTTGGCTTTGTGTCATGAGTACTTTACACCATTTCAACTAAAATGGATGATTCTGTACAATTACTATTCGAATGGCTTGTTTAGAGAGAAAACACGACCCCTTGTAAAGATACAAATATTGGTTATAAACTGATGTCGGAGGATCTGTGGAGAAAACTGCTGCAGGACAGATAACCAATGAGAAGTCCATACAGTCTTAATTTGTTTCAGATGTTTAATGGCTGCAAAGTTAATGGGAAGTTCTAAAAGGAAACGGTCGTTTTAAGATGGCGCCGACTAGGGCAGCCACGGTTTTTTGGTCTCGTGGAAAGTTATTAGATTTTATACATTTACACAATATTCGGTTTCTGAACAAATACAAAAGAAAGCTGCTGGGAGCATTAACTTCAGAACCTCATTTGACAAAGTCAGTCAAAACCAGAACAAGTCCAGACCTTCAGTTGTGCAGCTCAATTATGTGTGCTCTGATCAGTTGAAATGTGCGCTAAGAGAAAGTGTTAGTTCACAACAAAAAGACACTTTCTGTATATTCCTGCAACTTGCATCTGCAAAGATGTTTGACACATACTCATTTATTCTTTTTGTTACCACATTTGAAACATCATTTCTGAGGGGGAAAAAAAAAAAGATTTGCAAGGTTTGATTTGTGCCAGTACGATGAAACAAAAACAAAATGACTTTTCTTTCAAGTGAATCAAAGCAGGAGGTTTGAGTAACGTTTAGGTTATAAGAGGAACTGTTGAATTCCTCATTCAGTTTTTTTTTAAATTAGTGATAATTTTGCATTGTGTATTTTAAACTCATCAAATAGGCAGATCTCTGTTCTGTTTAAAAATGAATAACTATTACACAGTTGTACAGCTCAGGATGGCTAATGCGTTGTCATCTTTGAATCCTATCTTGATTAATACTTCATTAATAATGTGATCTTTTAGTACTAGAGTTTTCAATGGTCTTTTTAAGTATGTGTATATCACATAGAAATTAAATCCTAATTAGTTGTTTTTTTCTTTCAAGGCCCTGCCTCTCATCTTCGTGATTTCTCCACTGCCCTCAGCTCTCGTCTTTCTTCGCCTCGTCTTTAGGAATGAAAGGGAGAGTACAGAGTACAGACAAGAACTTCTAGCCCAGAGGGAGTGGTGGCCTTCGCTTTTATCTCTTGCGGTTGTACACGCTAACGCATGGCATTGAAAGGAGGCGCGTGCTCTCTGCAGAGGGCTCAGAAAGGCAGATCTCTGCAGTGGGCTTTAGAGCTCTGTGCAGAATAACTCAGACCAATATTAGGGTTTGTCTTGGTGAAGTTTTAAAAGGTACAAGTGAGTGACGGTAATGACTTGGTAAAACCTGCGTTCTTCTCTAAAGCTTAGAAATGGCCGTTCCTGCTTTAATGGCGTTTTCTCATTCAGTCACGTGATCTTAACTTTCTTACATGTGTTTTAAGGGGCCGGCAGAATCCTAACCATATGGATCCTTATTGTTTTACACACGGAAGTGTTTTAAAAGGAGAAACTGGAAACCGGCATTCAGACAATTATTAACAGTTGTGATTAAAATGTGATCTCATTGTTAATAAAAACTATAATGATAGAGTTACCTGGGTTCCTTTCAGAATAAGAAAGCTTATTCATTACTGTCAAAGCTTTTTGCTTGATCCTGAATTTTATGCATAGGCCCAGGTTCAGCTTCCACTGCTTTCAGTTTAGAGAAGGAAGTCAGGTGTCTCACCAGAGAGTAAGAGAGCTAACTGACCAAAGTCTGCTTCTTGTGTACTAAGATGGTTTTACAGCCAATCACCTGTGAGGCAGTCCCCCCCGCCTGGGGTTGTCATAGTGAAAGGCCTCCTGTTGGCGGACAGTCGAGAAGACACTCAAAGCCACTTCCCAACCGACTTGTGACTTTGCCCCTGCAAAACTCTCTGCCCATTGAGGAATCACTAACCAGATGGCTTTAAGGAATCTGTTCTCCCATTGTTTCTTGTCTGCTCTGGCTAAATTCTGCTGCAGTAAATGTAGAATTGCTACTTCACAATCCACTTTTGTATCCTATAATAGCCCCCAACTCACAACTTTTTATCTAGGGAAATGAACTTTTATGTAGTGCCCAGAGACTCTTGTCTAGCAAATACTGTACATTTGATACATCCATGTTTCTAATTCTGTAGTTCTGCAGTGCAGGAACATGAGACGTGAGCAGAGAGGACTCCTGATACAAGTACCTATATCCAGTATATAAACATAATTCAGTTGTATTAGTAAATAGTTTATCATTGAATCTTTTTGAGTAACCTAATGAGCATGGACTCCCGCAGAAAAGAAGGAGTCTGTCTGGGACTTGAGTTCCTAAAGTGTCCTTCAGATACTGAAATACTAGTTCAGGTTAAATCTTTTCCTAAGAAATGTTTTTGAGGTGGCTTGTGTTGCCATTGTGTGTGTAATCAGATATGCTTTTGTGACATTGTTTGGATTCATGAAGGTTAGCAAAAGCCTTTACTCATATTTGAGTGAGGATTGTTTATTTACAAAACGATCTTATTAGAACAGAGTTTTCAGTGAGATCCACCATAAATCCTAAAACATAAAGGTGTTCCTGGTAGAAATATATAACGGTGTATAGCTCTTTTTTTATTTTAGTTCGTAGTTGAAGTATGAGAGAAATTGTTTGATGAACACTTTCATTTCAAGATTGATCATGGCACATAATCCATAACACATAATACAGTTTATAGGTGCTCTTCAAGGGTTGTAGATTTAAGAAAGCAATGTACATTCACATGATGAACAGGTATTCTAAAATGATCCACATGAAAGACGTTAATCAAGTATCGTTTAATATAATACAGTGCTGTTTATAATTTGGATGTCTATTAATCTCTCATCTCTTTCCCAAGAAGTCAACTTGTGTACTATACCTAACTGATACAACCAAGTAAAAAATAAAATCACTGTCAATAACTTTTTATTGGAGTTTGTTTTTGCCCACTCAAATAGGTTGTATTGATCCATAGAGAGTGACCTTTTCTGCTGTTTAGTGGGGTTTTTTTCTGCCAGTTAGCATCTGGGGTTTTTAAATCTCTGGTAAGATCTCAAAGTAGAGATAAAGCTTTTTTTCTCTAACTCTTTCTTGTTTTCATGCTGGCAAATAATTATGCCTTCAGACTCTTTATGGCCGTATCCCTACTGAGAACTGAGCTTTAGTACCTAAAATGATGCGTTGTTATGTGTTGGACGTAGTGATGTGCACGCTGGATTTTACACTTCCCCTTATCTCTCGAAGGGAAAGTTATTCCAAAAACAAAGCAAAGAGCAGAATTGACAGATTAGTGTACATCTGGGTGAGTCGACGCCTACCTACCAAGTTTCAGTTCAGTCTCGAGTTTCTGAGACTGCAGTAGCTGGTATTTCCAGAACAAAATGACTGTGGGTGTTATCTGAAGTGCTAGCTGGGGGGGAGATAAGATCTCTGGATGTCTGGGGGGTAATCTGATCAGATAAGTAGCCCCCATCTGACTAGAGATATTGCCTTTGACAAGGTATCAGGAAATCTGAGGCTGGAATGCTCCCAGATCTGATCAGCCCAGCTCAATTGACCAGCCCTGTATTTACAGAGGCTTTTGTAGCACAAAACAGGGATAGTGTAGCAGGAGAGAAGCAAAGAAGATAAGAGAGAGTAAGCTTTGGCACTGCGCATGATCTCCACCACATGGATTCTTCATTGGCAAAGCCCGTCTGCTGAGGGGACCTGACGGGAGGAGAAATACATGATTTCCCTTTTTAAATCTGCTAGGCAACAGTTGTCATTACGTATGTACTTATATATTCTTTTATAGGAACCTAAGGTTGTCTACTTTTTAGCATAGTTTAGATTGTGGACTTTCACTAATCCTTATTTATTTAATAAATGACAGTGTTATTTTTCAGTATAAATACACAATATGCATCAACCTCTGAGTGTGTTAGGTTTGTTGTTCAGAGTAACTGAAAGGGTAGGACTGGATGAAGTGTTCTGGGCTCTGGAACCCCAGCTGAACACACTCTGTGTGATTCTATAATGTGAACACAGACTGGACATATTAATCCGTGCTTTGTCTTTTTTTTTTCTAATTAAACAAATTTTAATTTTCTACTTTTTTTCCACTGTTTAATAATGTTAATGCTTTTGGAAACCCAAGAACATCATTTTCACCATTACATGGTGAGCAGTGTCCCAGTATGTTTGTACAGTTTTTAAGAAACAGTATTCCGGCAGGGTGTGTTTTCTTGGATGGGTTCCTCAATGCAGTAGGAAAGGGGAGACAAAAATCTGCTTTCTGCAGCCAGTGTATGGCCTGTAGGTTTAAGGGTGTTCTGAGATTATCGGTTTTCTCATCTCTTCTTTATCATTGGCTTTAGGATCTCATCCCAGGGAGATGGCTGCAATAGTTACCATGTGGATTAACGTATTCTCAGCAGAGACCGAGCATTGTGTAGAATGAAAAATATATGAATATGTGAAAATAAATGTTAAAAACAGCAGTTAAATCTGATTCTTTAATATTCTACAGTAATTTTCACAGAGAATATGTTAATGTGCGGATAACTTTTCCTCAAATCAGCTTCAAGAGACAAAGATATGTTGCTTGTGCTACAGGGATGTTATGAAGATATTTGGAACCACTGATCCCTTCATGGACTCCCTCCCATCATGCACATGTATTCAGGTTAAGACTATGTAAGGGTAATCACACCTTTCTTATTTTTGTCATACTAGCCTGGTTCCATATTGATAGTAAGATGGTGCCACTTATCCACAGAGGGTTATCTGAGGAATAAGCTCAACTTTAAATGCTTTAGCTTCAGCTATTGCTGGGTAAAGTACATTCAGGAATTCACATTAAACCAGATTGTTTTAGTATTGTAATGAAACCTTTTGTCTTGGGGGGGGCTCTCAGGTTTTTGGGCAGACAGGAGTTAGCTGTGCTTCCCTAACCCTGTGGAATTACAGAGAGGAAGAAACTCAAGATTACCAGAGAACTGCACAGTCCTGTAGCAACAACACAGGACGTCCTAAAGAGACTCCTACATCTTGTGTTTTGGCATTAGAAAATTGTTTATCTTTCCATTTGTTTGTCTTTTAGACTGTCCTTAAATATACATTTTGCTTTCCAGCATTAAATATTTGAATATTGCTTCCTGTTATGATGCATTTAATGGTTACTTTGCTTGAGTTTCTGTAAATTTAAGTTTATAGTTCCTAAACTTTTCTTCACGTTACAATGCATAGCCACATATTCAGGAAAAAGGTTACATGAGCCATGAGAATTAAAAAAAAAAAAGTTGTTCTGTGGTTTTGTTGCAGCCAGGTACAATGACTAACAAATAGGATAGAGCGCTCTCTCCTTCCTGTAGAGGCAAGGGCTGTCCGTACAGAAAGCAGTTCAAGGGTGGTGCAACGCTGGGGCCCTGGGATCAGGTTTGGACTTGGGGTGCGGTCTGTGTGGAGTGTGTATGTTCTCCCCGAATTCGCACGGGTTTCCTCCCACAGTCCAAAGACATGCTTGCAGGCTGATCTGGCGTCCTGTCCAGGGTGAGGCCGCCTTGCGCCCGTTCCTTCCCCTGTAACACAGCATTGCGCCGCATTGGTTAAAGTGGTTCAGAAACGGGTGGGCGGATTTCATACTGAGCTTGTTTCTGCATTTCCCTCTTGCCAGCACTGGTGATTTATTTTTGGTTACCAGTGTAGGAGGGAGGTGTAGATTTAATACCGCAGCGATCAGGCGGACCGGGGGCCTGGTGCTCGGGCTGGTCTGGCGGGTGTGTCCTGAAGAAGGGGCTCTGCAGCGGCCCGCGCCGGCGGGAGGCGAGTGGGTGTGCTGCCTGCTGCCTGCTGTTGAGCCGCGGCTCCGTGGGCGGCTGGGGGGCGGCTTGGCAGCAGTCATGCCAGCGCAGCAGCAGGAGGAGGGGGTGGCGAGCAGAGGGGCGAATGCTCATTTAAAGCCATGCGGTAACCCCGGGCTGCTTTTCACCCACAGCATGGCAGTCTTGAAAAAGGCAACAACAATACTGCCATTTTTGGAACCGTTGGAGAAAAAAAAACAAAGCCCCCGACAGCATGAAACAGTACCTAAAACTCCAAAAATTATCTCTGAAAAATAAACAGCCCAGGCAACGGTGCGAGAGAGACTGAGAGCAGGCGGTGTGGTCAAGGCCCCGGGCTCGGAGCTGGGAGCTTGTGCTGCTCCTCGGCCCGCGAGGGCAGTGTTCGCTCGGGTTGCTCCAGCAAAATGCCCTGTGTTGTGAACGGGTGCAGCGTAAGCAAGTGTCAGCCGTGGAAATGAATCGTGATCTTCAGTGCCTCTTGGAAACGCTGGGTGCTCTGCTGGTCTGGACTCATCCGAATGGAAAATGCCTTTGGAAGTGGAGCAGAATGTGCCAGGTTACCGTGCCTGCAGTGTGTATTTTTGTTTTGTAAACGTGGACTTGTACTTCGTGTACTTGTGCATTATTCTTCATGAGTCGTATGTTAAGGACAATATCGATCCTTGTTTTTGTTGGTTTCTCACCCACAGAACCCTCATACAGTGTGATCCTTAAGCCTGTCCTCAGCGCTGCGTTCTCGGATGAGCCCACAGAGCTGGAGTGCACAGTTACAGACGTCGAGAGAGCCAGCGGAGTCCACATGACCGTCGCCTGGTATTTCGAGCAAGTGCTGCCTTCGGACGCGCCATCTGACACCAGCATGATCGCCTTGGTGGACGAAAACTGGGACCTCCAGGCTGGGGACAAATATGAAGACCGCGTGAAGGCAGGGCTCATAGTTCTCAGCAAGGTGAAGCCGGACACATTCAAACTGCAGATCCTCTCCACGCGGGACACGGACAGGGGGAGGTATTTCTGCACAGTAACGGCGTGGTCGCGGACGGCACAGGGCGGCTGGACGAAGCGCAAGGCCGTGGAGTCTGGTCGAGTCCCAGTGACCTGGACACAGGAAAGTAAGTGCTCTGGGGGTTTCTGAAGGGCGGCTGAAGAAATCGGAGCTTCCCGAGAGACAGCTCAGCTTTAATGGGTCTTGTTTTTCAAGTACTTGCTATAATAGAATGACCAGTTTATAAAAGCTAAAGATTAGAAGAACGTTTTGGAGTGCAGGAGAGTTGCTCAGCTGGTATTTCTAAGGAAAAAGCTTTGCTTCATTTGAGACCTTTCCACTGTGCCTGTGCGGCTTTATAAATAAAACGTATTATACTGGGAATCTCCTTGCGAGCAACTCCACTTATGCATGCCTGTTCTAGAGGTGATTAACTCCTAACAGAGCAGATCATAGCTTCAGTCTTCAGTAATGTATTATTTAGACAGTGATAAGCTAATCCCAGAATGAGTAGGTGTGCAACCCACTATCATATTAAAACCTACATAATTACTTAAAACTGTAATCAGAGAACCTCAGCCTTCACTTCTCATGTTGTCTACTAATGTTTCCTTTAATATAAACCCATTAAAAAGAAATATTTTTTCAATACCTATATATTAAATTGAGAGTTATTAGGATTTATAGAAGGATAAATGTCAAAGTAGAACAAGCACTGCTGGTTTAATATATAAGGAACAAATGTGTATTGATATTTATATTCGCTCCAGTTATAAGAAATGGCAGGTAATTCAGTTTGCAGCAGACATCTCCAAAGCTGGTGTATGGACTGGCGAGGCTTGTCAAACCCCATTATTGCTTACAAGCAAAGTGAAGCAACCAGGAAATTGAGAAAATATGCTCAGGTCCTAGTGCTGCAGCACACCTAGCCTGGGCTGGTCATGTTTTTGTCATTAATTAGAATACCTTAATATCTGAAACTAGTTTTATTTTGTTATCCTTGTTTGTTTTCCCCTGATGTAATAGGTGTCGCAACAGTATGGTGAAAAACATACGATGTACAATGTCTGAGTTGGCTTTAACAAATTAGATCTTAGTTTCTTGCATACATTATGTTAATTATTACAATATTATTCCCCTTACCTGTGGAGCTCCTGAAAGTGAACATAGTAGAAATGAGATATTGAGGAATAATATCAAAAACTAAGATATTTTATGACTTTTGGGAGCAGATCAAGTGCATTTTATCGTTGTGAACATTTATTCCCATCGTTGTCGACTCCTCGGTTGAATGTAGCTCATAATATCCCTTTGTTGGCAAGTGGACACGCGTGGCGCAGGTGGAAGAGAGGCAGTCGGAGTCCTGGACTGCTCTGGCCATGGTGTCAGGACAGCAGGCCGCGGGTCAGACAGTTTCTGCTGTCGGCTCGTATTTTTCTGCCAGAAAAACCTTTTTAGTTCTCTCATCCACTTGGTGGCTGCCAGCATTTTGTTTTTGAGGAAGTTTATGAAATTCTTTCATAGACTACGTTAGTGTATAACTGGTTCTTCAAAAAACTTTCTCTGATCTTTGTGTTTGTAAGATGAAGTGGATTTGTTTGTTTTTTAAATGTCATTTTTTAAAGACCGTTCCACTACCTTTAGCAAATACTTATTACATACCTTTACATTTTGTTCAAACATATCACGTTTTATAAATGACAGATTGATTTCACTTTATAGATCTCAGAGCCCTTCATTTTTTATCATGTCCCAGCTGCGTGAAGCCACTGCACTCCTTCTGGACTCAAGGGCAGCTGTATCAGCAATGAAACGCTGACCGATTCGCAGGGCAGCAGTTTATTATAATCCCGCTCACTTGATGTAGTGTTGCTCTTTCAGCTTCCAGGGTCTTAGAAGGGGGTTTTATTTTACGACCCCCTACTGTAGAATTTGTGTGTTCTCCATTTATGCTTCATCCAAAGTTCCATGCCTTGTTCGTGTGCCGGGATCTGTTCTGAGTAAATCTTCCTGAACGGGTGAGCTCAGGCCTGTCTGTGTCTTGCGCTTCAGACCCAGTGCTGGTGGTGGTCGCCACCACCCCGAAGGCTTCCAGAGATACCTTCGAGATGGGCTGCCGAGTGACGGGCAAGAACCTGCAGACCCCCAGCTACTCTGCGCTCATAAAGGTGGAGGAGTCCCTGGGGGGCAAGGTCCGGAAGGTCGTCTCTCTGAGTCGGGATTCGGTGATGCAACTGGAGGACGGGACCGACAAGGAGCGCCTGGACAGCGTGGTGCTGCTCAAAACCGGCCAGCAGGACTTCCGCTTCCGGATGTACGGCACCCAGCTGTCGGACGCGGGATTCTACTTCTGCGAGGCCACTGCCTGGACGCCCGACGCTGGGAGCACGTGGAGAGAGGCGGTCACAGCCGTTTCCAACAAAGTCCAAGTTTCTTTTGAGGACACGGGTAAGCATCTTTATCTCTCTTCTGGAAAGGGACGTTCGTCTTCCTGTCCGCACTCACGGTCTCGGCGAAGCGGTGGATTCCTAGTGCGCTTGCTTCCGAGCATCCGAGGCCGCAGTTGTCCATGTTAAAAGGGTCGGGGAAAGTAAAGATAAAGCACTGATTGGGCCGATGTGTCTCTCCCTAGCACGGTAAGTCCCAGGGCTTTCATACGTTAAGTGCAGGTTTACCCTGGCAGCTTCACGCCTGGGCCTCAGTGGTGGGTAGACTCTGGGGACCCCCCAGGGAAGCTCAAGCTGGCTGCTTGGGTCACACATCGTGCCTGACATTTCCAGATACAGCCAGTGTGCTGGAGGTGAGCTCAGGCCCTTTTACGGAAGGAGACACTGAAGAGGCTACAGCCTCTCCACCTCCCCTAAAGGAGGCTCAGCGCTGTGCTTGGTCTTTCTGTTTCACAGTGTGGAATTACACTCTGCTTGTTCCTTTAGTGCCTCTCTAGACTGACCCTCCTGCAGCTTGTTCCCTGAGGGTTTAAAAATGTTTGGGGGGGGGCCTTCTGAGAAGCACTGGGCTTGGCGCTGGTTATAGATTGAGCTTTGTGGCCCAGGCGTCTCCAGCTTGGCCCTGGATGATGTTACCAGCCAGCAGCGTGCGGCAGTGCCTGGGGACTCCCAGCCAGCTGGCCGAGCGCCACCATGGGCGGGGTCGGGGTTAGACAGCCGTGCCTGTCTCGTGACTCCCCGCGGCTGCTAGGGCCTACAGGCACTCCCGTGTCAGTCGCTGTGGGGCTTGCAGGGTGGCGGATGACACCGGGCCCACGAGTGTCCCTCCTTGCTCCCCTTGTAAAGAGCAGCAGGGATTGCTGGGAGACGAGGAGGCGGAGCAATCGGCTGTCCTGACTTGACAAATCAAAAGGGAAGCCTGGTGAAATGAAGAAATTAATAAAGCACCTATCCTCTTATTAACGCAGAAGCCTTAAGAATATGTCATATCCCCTCTGGGGGGAACCGGCCTCTCCGAGTCATCAAGTGCAGCGGGAACCCTGACTCTGGGCCCCTGGCTTTGTGTCTCTGCAGGTCCAGCCTTCAACGTGTCGATTCACACAGACACCTCGTCCGTGTTCCCTGGAGAGACTGCCAAAATCCAGTGTGCTGTGACTGTCCTGGGGATGGTTGCTAAAGCAGGCAAGTTTCCCCAAGAACTCCACAGGGTCCTGGCCGTTTGGAAGATCGAACGCTCTGCCAGAGCGCAGTGTTTGTGGGACTTGTCAAAGTCATTAGGCTGAACATCCCGACGCTCGTTGGATTGAATCATTAGCCTGTTCTAGTTTAATTGATTGATTTATTCACTGGTAGTTGGCAGGGCAGTGGTGCTCTAGTGGCACAATGTTTTAGTTACACAGTTATGACATCTAAATCTCTTTCACTTGTAAAGTGTCTACACTTGTGGCAGAGAAGAAATGTGTTTTATTTACCAAGCTCATAACAGGAGTTATTTTCGTATCTGATTTCTTACTGCACATGTACTATAAAATACTATGCATATTTTGTATAACTCTAAAAGAGCTTTTGAAAGCAGAGTCATAATTAATCGAATGCTTAATGACAATTCTTTCCTGTAAGCTTCTGTTTTCTGCATGATTTGCTGATGAGTTTTCTGGTTATCAAAGCAGATGAAGCTTTGTACCCATGTGTACCAGCTTTTATAAATATGTATTTTAAAATTACCGTCAGTAGCAAGCTTAATATATGGATTCATCATTGAGATGGAAAGAGGTATCCAGACATGTCCATTCACAACTAAGAATCACCATTAAACTTGAGAACTGTACACTTCCTTAATTCCTTTCAATTTTCTGTGATGTGTGTCAATGCTTTGCTACAAAATTCTTTTAACGAGGTCAGTACAGTTGCTTTTCAACATAATGCATAATCAGAATATGAAACACGAGTTGCTGGATAGTGTTTGTATTTGGAAATTATTTGATTTTCAACCTTTAAACTATGAACATCTTGAGGCATGCATATACAAGCAATTTGCCCACTGCCTCACCTTAAATATAAACCTGTAACACTTAAGGAGTTTTCCTAACAGAGTGGTATTTATAGGAGTGGACACTGTCTCCTGGGTAGTTATTTGAAATCAGTGATAAGAGCTTCTGCCTTATGAGAAAAGAATTGTTCATTTCCAGTGTTGTTATTTCTGGGTAGCCTGGTACACATCTCTAGATTTATAAAATGACGACATGGCTTTTCTACAAAGCTGCACCAGGTACAAAGTGAATCCTCCGTGATTGCAACATGTTGCAAAGCTGGGAGCATTAAAGCTGTAGAGTAGATCACTGATTTACAAATATGCAGAGCAATGGCTTAAAGGTAACATGCGAGCTGTGTACTTGTACAAGGTATAAAATGAAATTAAGCTTTTGACAGACTGCAGTGTTGCATATCTGAGCCTTATCACTGCCGGTATCTTCTCTCACCAGTCTTTTGCTTCCCCAATTCATCTTTTTTTTAATTTTTAGATTTGAACAGTTTCTTTACCTCTAGATCATTTTTCCCCCCTTTTAATGAAGCTTAGTCCAGAAATGTACTGTTGCCTCTGAAGAGGCAAGAGCTTAGCAGGGCCCAGAGGCTGTGTCTCAGAGAAACAAGAGGGTGATTGATAAAAGCAGCTGCTGGAGATGAGATCATAGAACTGGTGATACATGGAAGGCTCTGTTCTATTTTAGCTTTTGCAATGATGGGATTGGCAGTGCATAAGGCAGATCGAAGTATCAGGAATATGAGCTCTGTTTCTGATGTTAACTGCCATTCACCAGACATCAAACTGGTTTGACATTTCTGATCCAAATGGATCAGGAGAGTGCTCCCCACTCAGGAGAGTGCTGCCAATTCTCAGCTAAGAGTTTACATGAGGCTTTTGTATGCTTGATGTACCTCAGCCTACTGTAAAGAATAGTTTACAGTACAGTATGAATCGCAGAACAGGCAGCGGTATTAATCACACTTACTGCACTCCCACATTTGGCGAAGCGCTGTCCACATTAACTAAACTTTGAGGTCGTAAGAAGGGTTTTGAACGAGAGGAGGCCATGTGGCCCATCCGGCCTGTTTCATTGTTAGTAGCTAATTGATCCTAATCTCACCCTGCCCTGTCTTACAAGAAGCCAAAAGCTTTCATCCACCCACAATCCCAGAGACGACCTCAGGCTACAGTGAACCGGGAGAACTGTACCGTGAGGCCCTGCACTGTCAGACTGTGGCAAGCCCTGCCTTTCCTGACAAGGCAAGCGACAGCGGCACACGCAAATATACAGATGCTTATCAAGAGGCATTAGACCCTTAAAAATGGTGATGTTTGTTTGCATATTAGGGCCTGTCGGTACACGATATATGTGCATCGTCAAACCATGAGGAGGGGTGGCGGGGTCTGTTGGCGGCAGTCAGTGGTGTGTACAGGGGAGTGTGTGGGGGCCAGTCCTTGCTGTTCTTGTTTTTAGATGCACTTCCGCTTGGTTTTCCCCTGTTTAGTCTGAAGGAGTTCTCTGGGTGGACCTCTGGCCACAGATGTCTGCCCTGTCACTGCTGTGCTCAGCGTGTCCTTGAGTCCCAGGACGCTCAGTTCAATACCTGGCACCTCTGCTAACGCTCTGAACACAGCCAGTTACAGCTCTCGGCATTCCCCCCCGACGCCTCCAGGGAATTACTCCTGTCCATAACCCCCCCCGATCATCGCTGTGGTCTCCAGTCAGAGCATCCTCTGCACATAAAAGGAATCGGAGGGGTTTGACAGATTGTGGAATCTGTTGTGACTCACTGGGATTTGCTTCCAGTGACGTTTGCTTTTCCGCCCTGGGGGAACGGGCGTTCTTGGAAAGGCGAGTCCTCGCAGGAGTCTTTCTGGGCGCTGGGAGAGGGATATGATTGATTTCGGTCAGACCGGTAGGAGGGATCTGAAAGTTTCTTTTTCGGTTGAATCTCCTTCGAAGACCGTAAATGTGCTGAGTATTTCTGGAAATTCTACTTGCACAGTAGAATAAGACTCTTTTAGGAATCGACAAGGACACAGCGTTTTTTCCAGAGGAGCTGCTATTGATTGCTTCAGACAATTACTTCATGCACTGCTTTGTTTGTTGTTGTTGCTAATTTGGTTTTGTGCAGTGCTTCCCGAATTTCTTGCCTAATTTCCTGAAAACGGACAAAATCATGAAATACCTTCAATAATGACGAGGGTAATTTATTTTTGCTCTTCCAAAAGTCCCTTCCATTTGTTTGTGCATAAAAATGTATACATTGGAGTGAAGAGTTCAAGCTTCAAAGTGCAAAGCAAATGAATGAGAGGATAAATGAGTAGTGAGAAGCACTTTGGAGAAGACTTCATAAACAAATCTGTTTCCTATGTGTTTTAGAAGATGAAGCAAAGTAAAAAAGTGTATAGCCACATGGAGACTGCATATGTAGAATTACATAATTTGCAATAGAATAGATTTTAACAATTCCTAGTTAGTACTTTGAATAATGCTGTGACACTCATCCACCTGTTATTACAGTTATTGTATTTAGAAATAAGAAGCATGCAGTGTGACAAGGTAAGGATATACTGTATAGACGTGTGTGTATATAATGAGGACACAGAGTAGGATGATACCAGGTCAAGGGTACCTCAGGCACCAGGATCATTGCAGCCAATGGAACAGTATAGATCCGGATGCTTTCTATATTTGCTCACTGTGGAACACATGGCACTACTGATTGACACTTTTAAAAGTACAAAGGGGTAATGATAATAATTTAGGTAAATGGTTGCAGAAGCCTAATTGAAATGAACCACACTTTTCTATAGGTTAATTTCATGTGGGTAACAAAGCTCTAACCCAGACCAGACCTCTAGTCCTGTAATGTAATTTTGGTAACAGTATAAAATACATTAATTGATTCTTTATGAATGCTTAATAGAGAATGAATCCATAGAAAGCTAGATTAAATTATCATGCTTACAAATAAGTTAATTCACACAAAATGTTTGTGTGTGATTGTAAGTATTTGTACACACAGTGCAACCTGTGAAATGTTTTTACTTTATTACAGTTACAGATGGGAATTAACAGTGATCAGAGTATGAGGGTGTGACAAATACAGGTACTTTCCTGACAGCGTGAGCAAAGTAAGTGGCAGGATGTTCGGCTTCCTTAACGAATGGCTTGTATTGCTCATTAACTCATAGTGTACGTGGCGGTGTGAGCAGTCAGAAGAACTGCTGACACCAAGGTTGAGAAAGTGGTTTAGATATACTGCCCACTATACAAAGTCAAAAGTGCCGGACCACGATCTTGCCCCTGGTTTCCTCCCCTGTGAAACACAGGAGGGTGAACCGTTTTATGAATGTAGTTTAGTATAATCTTGTCTTAGCTACTGAAGAAACCTTTTTTTTATATTTTGCATGAAATAAGGTTACTTGTGCTATGACTGCAATGTGTGTGCAGTACAAAAATAACTTTTACACCAGCTTCACGGATGCATTTTAGTTGTTGTTCTAAGTTTACTTATATTATAATTTGGAAAGGAGTCTGTACTGTTGTCCTTATACAGGTACTGTATTTTGTCATCAGCCTTAAACATTTCCTCCAGTCCTCATTCCCCCAGTCCAAAACTTGGCCTGATTGCAAAATGTGGTGAATGTGCACCTCCTCTTATTATGATCTCTATACAGAATATTCAGTACTGCTCCTGTGGCGGTTTTCTCCCTGACTAGTAACAGCTGATGCTGTTTTTCATTTTTCAAGCGCTGTGCTTTAAATCCCTAGGGTGCAGAACATTCTTTTTACATTCTCTTCATAGCCAAATTGATTCTCAGATGGTTAATGCATAAAATTGAAATTGAAAAAAACTGAACAATGTGTGCCTACTTTCACTGATCTGCCATTGTGCTGGTAAGGACATACATTTGATTGCACAATGTTCTGATTTTATTTCCCTGGCTCTCTATAACACATTTTAGGAAAGATCATAGATAATGCTGTACTGCTAATGGATATTTCCATGCATGTGAGAATTGGAGTTTCTCAGTATTATTTTTTGGACAGCAGGTGTGATTATGGTCGAAGCTATGTATCTTTTGTGCAAACTGCAGCTGGCATTCAGGTGTGATATGATGTTGTGTGTGTTATTAATATGCTGCTGTGCATATCGGCTGTTTCTTCATCTGATTGACCTAATTGGTGCTTATGGGAGCAGTTTCAGTGTTAGGAGAGCCGACGAACACAAACACGACATAGGTGCATTAACGAGAGCTGAGGTGATCTAATTTGTAGTTTATTTCAGTGAAACTTGGAGATGACTGATATTGATCTTTTCTTCGGTTTCTTTTTACAGCTCTGTTACTTGTTTTTCCTCATCTGGCTGGTTTAATTTTCCAGTTTGTTTTTTTCCATACATGCAAACCCAAAGGTAGGGTCTTCCATGTTTGTTTTAGGTGATTGAGCAGTGTCTGGACGGACTGTGCTATACCAGCCTCTCTTGGGTGTTTCGTGAGGCATGAGCATCTAGACAAACCACAAAGGAAAGGATTTATTTCAAGTCAAAGACTGTAATACCCATAAAGGAAACTTACTCTAGGAAACCTGGACACAAGGCAGTACTTTTCAGGCTGTGTGTCTTCATTCTCACTCGCTGCTACAGATTCCCGCCTGCCTGACGCGCGCGCGTGTGTTGCTCCTCAGGTGACGTTTCCTTTGAGGTGAGGTGGTTCCTCGAGCGATCTCGCACCACAGACACCGAGGACGTCCACTTCCTGGCCTCTGTGGACCGCTGGGGGGTGCTGAGGCAGGCCCAGAGGAACAGCAGCAGTGACTGCAGCCTGGAGAGGACGGACGCAAAGACTTATCGCCTCAGCGTCCACAATGTGCAGGACAGCGATGGGGGAAACTACCACTGCACTGTCACGCCTTGGGTCAGAACCGCAGACGGATCCTGGCAGAAGTCGAAGGACATCAGCTCCTTGCCGGTCCTGCTGGTGGTGAAGTTCGCAAGTCAGTTGTCACTCCATGGACTTGGTTGTTTTTATCAGCTAGTACAGTAGATAGTAACGTGCTGTATTTGGAATCTCCCAAAGTATTTCTTACTTCTTGACGCAAAAAGGCACATGGGAGTAGAATAAGTAGAATTGTCATTTTTTGGTTTAGAAGAAAAATGTTATTTCATATAACATATAGTGCCTTGAACTAAATTAGCATAGAGTGACTTTTCAAAGCTGTGACCTGGTCTGGATTTGGTCACAGAATTGTGGGTCATTCCTTCATTGCGTGGCCCTTCTGTGCCGCTGGTTTGTGTCGTCTTTAGGTTTTGTGGTCAATGTCAAGGGAAACTGCCTAGCCGAATTACCTTTTGAGTGGCTGGAAGAAAGAAGGTTGTTTTAGCAGAGAAAATCTCCAAGAGTTTGTTTTATGCTTTGATACCGAGGTAGAATCTGTACTAACGGACCCTGTGTGTTTCTTGTTCTAGTCTGGGAGTCGATGAAGCTGCCGCTGCTGTACGGAGTTGGCGCTGCGCTTGCTGTCGGCCTGCTGTCCATGCTGATTGGCTTTGTCAGCGCGCGCTGCTGCTTCAAGGAAGCCAGCGACAAGGACTCGCGGGCGACACGGCGGCTCATGGCCATGGAAATGGACTGAGACGAGGACCTCGCAAGACACCCGCTTGTGGCTACCTTCTGATGAGCCTAGCACGGTCTCATTTCTTCCTACTCGGTCACTGTGGCAAGAAACAAGGGCCTTTTTTAATACAGAAGCCAAGAAAATAAATTTTATCAGTCCTTAGGGATTGATTTTTAAAACAAAAATAAAAAAACCTCAGGTCCAGTTTTGACTATTGCCTTGTGACTGCATTAACGTAGACAAGAATTATAAAACAGATTAACAATAATATATGAAACGCAATACCACTTTTTTGAAAGGCTCAGTAAGGGCTTTTGTTTCCACCATTGATAATTGCACTATACTCAGGAAAGACGTCACCAAATGAGCAGAATACATGTTAAACACTTCAGGTCCAAATGGTCTGTGGTCAAAAGACTGCTTCAGCCCTTCAGTGTCTGAAAAGAGAAGCATTTTGTGGCAGTATTTCTATCCTGCACTGTTATTAAAAATGATGCAGTAGACCAGACCCGTATCTGGGATACAAGTGCATGAACTGGCCTGTGAATGCGAGCTGTGCTGCAGGCTTGTTACTGCAGGTGTATGAACATTATGACCTAGGGGGAAAATGTCATAACACTTGGGCTTCACTTACATAGACTTACTCGGTGAAGGGACAAAACCATTTTAAGTATTTTAAAATGTTTAGTATCCTAACTCTTACCTTCTTCTTTGATTTGTTTTCTGTTTCTGTAAACTTCTTCTTCAGGTCTCTAGGAAATACTTGTAGAGCTAATCAGTGTCTTGACTAGTAGTCATCTCTGTGCCTTAAGAATGACTTATAAGATGAGTAAGGCTTTGATGTGTTTTGAGAGGTTTTTTTATAATTGCTGCATATAATAAGGGAACGGATACTGTATGTACTGTAAGACACAGGAGTTAATTTAAGGATTTCACTGTTGAGACAATACGGTAAAACTTTGTTCAGGTTTATTTTTTAATGGTTATGTGTAAGCTACTCATTTTTTAACAAAATGTACAACTTACTAAAAGGTGCACATGTTGTGTGTGTGAATTCTGCATGGGTTCCAAAATTGCATTAACAGATATCATAAACTTTCCCTTTTACCAACAGTGCAGAACAAAGATTTTCTGGTTAAGTGAACAGCTGTTGCAATTGTGTATTAGCTGAGGGAGATGATCCATCTGGACTTTGTAAACAGAATTTTTAAGTGCAGATTACACATCTTGTGACTGAAGAACTGAAAATGTACAGTACAGGAAGTTGAGGAAAGACATTCCAATGAAGGCAGTAGTAAGACTTTGGTCATTTGTATTTTGGATTTGCAGATATATGACCGCTGACTCAATTATAATAGAAAAGGCCAAAGGTGTTTCTTAGAATTGTTTAAGGATGAGAGCGAAATATAGTTAAAGGTTTTATAGATGAAAATGTTTTTATAAATTCTGCAACAGTTTAGCTAGTATATTATAGTTTTCAGGGAATGGTCTGATTTATACATTGTCACTTTTTAAACTTTCATACCATGTTTCTAAACACTCAAAAAATTGAAACATTGATGCCATAATATTTTTTTTATAAGCCGGATAGGATTCAGAATACTAAGTTATATTTATGAGGCCTTTTTATCATGATGCTTTTGTAGGCACAAAGCCTGAAATATATTTTTCTTACACTTAAATATTCATTTGGGTCCTTTTTTAATGTATCAATGTTACATTGAAGACACTTGAGCTGCCTTCTTCAGTGGCTCCTAAGGAAGCAGTTTTATTTGAAGGTAGATGAACTGCACCTCTTCACTGTACAAAAGACAGGTTTTTTATTATTTCTTCAGTTCCTTATAGTGGTTGTCGATTGTTTTCCCACCAAAAATGCACTCCCTGCTTTTTTCTTTGTCATGGGATCTGTGCTGTTCAATGGAGATTATAGTATTGTACACTGGCATTCAGCTGCCATTAAAACTTGTAGCTTATGAAGCTTTTTTGCTGTGTGTCCTGCCTGTTGTGCTGTAATCCATCTTTCATGGGGAACCGTTGCCTTTCACATAACTACACAGCTGTTAGCATTGATCCTTACAGTTGCACCAGCTAGACTGTCATCCATTAACCCAATCAGTTTGGGGTGTTCGAACACTTCTTTAATGAGTGATGCAATGGAAGTTGGACTGCATTTTTTCTTTTTTCAGTCAGTATTTTTTATTTGCTCAGTGCTAAAGCTCCTTTAATACTGTTGGTGATCATTAGGAAAATCCCAGTTTCAAATGTGTATTTGACATTTACTTTGTCATCCTAAATTATGCCAAACGCAAGAAGTATTGTCTTTATCTGCAGTAAAATGTCCAACTGAAAAAGTAAAAACTTCTGCTACATTAAACTACTGCCTTATTTTTTTTTATTTAATTCATACAAAGATACTGAGTATTTTTTCCAACAACCAACTTTTGGTTTGTGAGGTTCAAGTTTAAGGCACTTGTTGATAATTTTGACCTTCTAAAAATTAGGTTTGTGTTATAACAATTCCAAGATCAGCCACTTAGTTCCTTATTAATATACAATTATGAACGCTGTCTTTTACTTGCTTTCTTGCCTGCTGAGATACTAAAGCTATGAAAAACATGGAAGCATGTTCATGTCACCTTACCAATCCCGAATCACACTGCTACTAGGAAAAAAAAGACTTCTAAGCTTGTGTTTTCTTCTTGCGTTCTTTCTGGTTGTTTCGGTAAGGGAGAAACTCTGCCTGTCTGGATGGAGTCCTCCAGTCTGGAGGGGGCTGTAAGCATATCGCAGGGCAGAGCTGCCCTCTGAACCACTCGGATTTCCTACTTGCATGCGGCACCGTGAGAAGTCCATCATCTCAAAGGAGGCAATACCTCATTTTCATGACGAGTTGCAGTGGCTCTGTGGCTGGAAGGTTGCCGGTTCGTATCCCACGGCTGGCAGAAGCATCCTAGTCCGTTGGGCCCCTGAGCAAAGCCCTTCACCCCAGCTGCTCCAGGGGTGCTGTATAACTGGCTGACCCTGCACTCTGACCCCCAGCTTCTCTCCCTGTCTGTGTGTCTCATGGAGAGCAAGTTGAGGTGAAAAGATATTCCTAATTCCTAATGCAAGAAAATGTAGATGGCCAATAAAGTGATCTTATCTTATAAATGCTGTTTGTATTAAAAGGCAATAATCTGTATTATCACTGGACAATATCTCTACAGTTCACAGTATTTTTCTTATTGAGTCCTTGTGTGTGCTCTTTACTTTCTTTGGAGGGAAACACTCATGTACTCTCCTTAGCTCCACTGGTTCCCTTGTGCGTTTGAGCCCATCTTCTTGGAATAGAGCCACTCTTAATCCCTCTGCCCCTCGGGTCAGCTGGCCAGCCAGGGCTGGAGAAATTCTTCTTGCTGTTCTACTTGTATTTGAACCCACTTTTGACTGCTCACAAGCGGTACTCCTACAGGTGTTTATTTTTTGACAAATTCTGAAAAATAAATTTTAAATTCAGACATCTGCTGTTCTCATAGGAAATGTGTCTTAATTTTTCTATTTGTTTTTTTTTATATATATATACCGAATATGACAGATAGTTTAAGAATTTAGATTAACACTAAACAAAAGGTCCCAGCTTCAATCTTGTAGGGAAACATTCCTGAATGTTTTCTCGCTCTTAAATCGGCAGCACCTGACGAACTAGAACTAACTGGTTCAGTTAATAGTCAGGAGTAATCTGTAGAGCAGCAGCCCATCACAACACAGTTGGGGAAATCCTGACGGAAAACCGTAATGTTCCCGGAACCTCTTGCATTACATCCGATTATATCATCCATATGATCTTAATTAGCCAAGAACTGTTGAATTATGAAATGGGAAAAGCATTCAGATTTGGGTTTATTCATCACTGTATAATGTTTTCAGTGAGCTCAGAATGGCTTAGATGAGGTCAAATAATCTGCAAGGAACATTTATCACAGATTCAGATTGCTTACAAATATCCTAGTTAAGAACGCAACACTACAGCGGTAAAGATGCAAGCGCAGTCCTGGCATATCAAACGATTCCCAGAAACATTATTCCTGGACATGCGGTAATGCTCCACTGTGGAGTCAGGCATTTTCAATAAAGCCGGCTGCAGAATGTCTAGACAAAGTCAACACTGCCTGAGCAAATATTTTAACAGAAACGCAGCAATATTGTGAGAAAGTGAGCTAGTAGGGTGCAGGTCTTGTGGGAAATGGTTAATTATGCAGTAGGCATACCAAGAGAGTCACATCCAGTAATTTCAGTGACCTTCGTGTTCCTGAATTTCAGATGATGTCCTTTTTCTTGCCCGAAAGTTCTAATTTTAACATTAATTTATACTGTTACATTAAAGTTTCCTTGGCAAATCAAAGAATGCTGCTATCACTGAAACATATTTAGCACTTAGAAGGCTAGAACATATTTCTGATCTTACTCTGTAAATGCTACAATGGATGACCTCTACTGGTCAGATTAGGCATAACAGGTATGAAGACGGTGGAATGCCTTCAAATTTCCAACCTAGTTTACTGAGGAGGGGGTCGTTAGTCTGCAGGCAGACCAATCATGTGAGACCTGTCAAAGGTTTTCCCCTCAGAGCACTAGCTTACAATTTTTTTTATTTTGTTGCAGTCTAGAAAATAGACATTCCCTTTTTAAATATTCCTGTGGTGATGGTAACAATCAGTTTATATCCACATTTCATTGCAGTGAATCTCAATGTGCATCACATCAAGAAAATGTTAAGAGAGAATTCAAGGAATGTAAAAGTCGCTCAGAAAATTGATGCATTTTTTGCCCATTCCTCCCGGCAGATGTGCTTGAGCTCTCAGTTTGTTTGGGGATCACTTACAGTATGGACATCAGTTTTCAAGTCTTTCATCAGATTACCAATAAGATTCAGGTCAGGACTTTGACTGTGTCGCTCAACAACATTCACTTTCCTAGTGTCAAGCCAGTCCATTCTAGCTTTGGTCTTGTGCTCTGGGTCGTTATCCTGCAGGAAGGCGATTTTGTTGTTGTTGAGTTTTCGGTCTGGAGCAGATTATCCTAACCTGAAGCGTCTGAGAGTGAGAGCCCTGCACGACAGCTCTCCCTTCCTCCCCCTCTTCCTGAATTCAATATCAATTATTCTTCTTCAAAATTCAGATTTAGGATTTAAAAAAAACGCTGCTTGTGCTATATTTTTTACAAGCTTCCTCATATAAATGCAAACGGACAAAAAAGCTTCAGTGCCAGACGCCACATGGAGCCGAGGCAGAGGCCACTGCAGCAGCACCTGGTCCAGCGCGTGTCCAGCCGACCACAGGACAGTGACCAGAGCACGTTCCGCATCAGGTCACAGCAGCCAGGTGAGGTTTCGGTCGGTAATCTGACTGACGCAGGCTTCTTCCTGCACTTTTAGCAGAGATTCTCTTTAAATGAGCCACTTTGGAGCCGGAAGCCTTATAGAATAATGCTGTAATAATAATCTCCTCTGTGGTATCTGTAGATCTTTACAGGCTAAGTTGTTCTGCTTCTTATGGAACTATTTGCAGAAAATCTAATTATGATGTTTTAGACAACATGTTTAAATTCTAGGCAAGGTTTGATTATACGTGTCTGAGGCTTGGTACAATAAGTTTTATTGCATTTTTTTTACTTCAAAGAAATGTATTTAAGCACTGGTGTGGTTTCCCTTATTGTTTCTAAAGAGTTGCCATTTTGACCCTGTGAATAATACTGTACCTATAAGCAAACTTATCCTGATGATACTGATGGGATAAAGTTGGCAGAGAGCTCCCACTTAAGGATATCTAAAAAATAAATGGCTCACTCATTTTATATGTTATATAGACATAAAATAACCTAGCTATCGTCTTAAAACGAAATGTAGTTGTAATGTTTTTGTGAAAAGAGAATTAAATGCCATGAATGGATCCTGGATTGGACCTCTATTTCTTAAGGTCTCTGGTATCATGGAAATTCACAGAAAACAATTAATTTCACGGAGAGTCTAATTACGTCTAATTAATTAATAAACTAATTAAGGCAACAAATTAATTTTCAATTGTTAACTGAAATTGCAATTTGCCATTAGTTGATGTATGCTCCGGTGAAACATTCTTATTTCATTTCAATTATTACTTGAAAAACAGTGGTACATGAATGGAGGTAATACTGTAGTTTCTGTACAGTATGCATACCTATTACAAAATAACACCACACTATTAGTGTCATAAACTATTTTGATACATCTCATTTGGAGTTGTGCTAGCAATGTGGTAACAACATCCTGTATCAACAAAGAAATCTTTGCATTAAATGAAATTGTTTTTCGCTGTAATATCTCTACAATTCACAGTATTTTTGTCTTATTGTGTCTTGGGGTATGGGCTACACTTTGTCTTTGAAAGGGAAACACTAATGTGTAAATAAACATTTAATACTGTAATTATTTTTCTGACAGCCACACACAGCTGTAGTACATTAAGGATTCACTGCACCATGTGGCAGAGCAGAATACTGACTGACACCTCACATTGGCTGCAGTACATCTGTAGCTTCAGAGGAGAGCCATTCATTAAAGTTCCCTGAGTCACTTCTAATAGAAAATATGTGAAATGTTGCAAAACAAGAAAAATTGTACTCATTTTCCATCACCGATGATTACTGATGATCAATTGAAGTGGTATTTACAAAATGTCTGCAAATCATCTTTATCTGAGAAATGACTACATTGTGAACTAGCTATCCCACGTCTTCTGAGAGAATCTTTTTTGCCATGGAGTAGATATAGATATTTCAGTTGGCTATAATTGAAAAAAAAGTATCAGCTGCACATTAACCAGTATGGCACCTTGAATAATCAACTGTTAATACTGGAGGATGTTGGTCAAGAGATTACATAAGCACCCTGTTGCCATGGTAAAGCAGGAGATGCCAGGCACTCTGCCCTTTCCGCTGGCCCTGCTGTTCACTGGAACGTCATGCT